ATTCAGTTTTAAGGCCGATACCGATAGGGGGCCGATTATATCCCTAATATATAATATATATATATATATATATGGACGCAATGCACATAATGTATATACTATGTATGTCCAATGCACCTTTCCTTCCTTTGGCACCTTCTTCTTTCTGACTATTTAAGCTGATGTAACAAGTACATTTTCAACACTGTGAGATCAATAAAGTCAAATCAATCAAATGAGCCAGCCCCACTGCTTCCACAGCGTGCAGCAGCCTCTCCACATATACCCTTCCCCAGATATTCTATTAAGTATAAGAAAATGGAATAATAATTTTTTTTGTTTTACTTTATATTCGCTTTTCTCCGAGGGAGAAGTTAAAATATTGTAATTTGAATGAAGCATTTTTAGTTTTCTCTGTATAAGGAAAAAAAAGGTTGCCATGGTATTGACCTCCTTCCTGTCTCAGCTACCTGGAGGCAGCCATTACAAACCAGCACAGGGTTGGCTAGGCTAGGAGCTTAAAAAGTCATCTTATTGCAGCAATTGACAGAATACACTGTTCATTTATTTATTTACTTTTTTTTTTTTTTGCATACCTGCTGAGAGACAAAAATAAACCCAGATATCCATCTGAATTTCAAAGTGACAAGGACATGTTGGAGCATAGCAAACTGCTAAGCTAATATACGCTGTAGTAAAGGTGGACCTACCGGTAAAGTTTTCTTTTAAGATGAGCCAGCCCCCCAAAAAATAAAGAAGTTTACACATTCAGATAAAAGCAGGTTGTCTACAACCATTGGTAAACAATAAAAAAACAAAAACACAAAAAAAAGCTAACAAAACTAGCTGAATACCGTTAAGGGAATCTTTCTGTCTCCAGCTTTGCTCCGCCCACATCACAATGTTTACCACATGAGATCCATTAAAAGGTTACTGAGTATTTTACTTTGGTCTAACTTGAATGTTCAGCGTAGTGTGATGCAATAACTGTCAATGAACACATAGGTAATAGTAGAGGTATAAGGGAAAAAAATAGATTCTGTAAAATATCAGCATATTTTATTAGATGAAATTGGTACAGACTTAAAATCCATCAGAAAGGATCTAAAATGTAAATTTATAGACCTCCTTTACATTGTCATTCTTTTATAAAACACTTAAACCACCAGCTATAGACAGCAGCATAGCAGCAAAGATTCTATTTAGCAGCTCTGCACCAGGAAAGCAACCGGTTCTCATGCCGTTTCCCAGAGCTGTTTATATATCTTTGTTAATGTTATGGAACATAGATCATATCTTCAGACGTGTCATGATGCGCAGCATAATGCCAAATTCTAGTGAATTCAGACACAAAAACAAACCCCCCCCCCCCCTTTTTTTTACGTTCCCAGCAAGGAAAGTAACAGAACTTTTAATAAGCAGAGAAGAGCGCAGACGCAGCAGATGCTATACCTCCAAATCCTCTTTGCTTCAGTTCCTCTCCTCGAATGATAACTGGAGTAATTCCTAGGTCACTTCCCACAGCCTTTATTTCCTGCAACACAAACAGAAACTTAATGCAGTGAAATCTTTCAGACATTTTTAGATTCAGAACCTTTCATGTTAACCAGCTAATGTTGCTTATGATTCAAACAATCAGTGAGAGGCTTTGGAAACTCTATGAACTTTACTCATAGTGCACACAATCACTTACATCCAGGAAGTGGTCTGTGTTCATCTCGTTGCACGGAGTGTCAACAATGCGAGCCGCCAACCGTACCCCATCAGCAGCATTGGAAAGACACTGGAGAAAAAAAAAAGGGAAAACTAAACCTATGTGAACATTCAGAACGTGAAATTATGTGATTAAAAGACAGAAAACTAAACAGATTGGGCTCAAAGAGCGGTACCCCCATTTCAGCGTCCTCCAGAGGACTGCCATCAACGACCACAAACTCCACCGTCACATGCTTCTTCTCCGTCCTGCGAGAGGCTGCAGAGCGACGGGTGAAGAGGGGGAAGGCCCTGGCGATGGCGCAAGCCGAGGCGAACACATCAGAGCGCTCACACACCACCTGCATATGGAAAAACACGTCCGTTAGTTTCCTGATATCACTTTTCATTTCACAACCAGGATCATGGTAAATTAAGGCAGACATTTCCACCAAGAAGGGTGAAGAGACTGACCACAATGCAGCGGTTGTTCCCTCCAGGAAGGCAGGAGCGGATCAGACGGAACAAAAAGTGGGCGGAGGCCGGGCTGTTATGTCTGCTGACGCGTGACGGAAGAGCAGCCACCACGGCTTGGTTCAGGTAGAGCGGGCAGCTGTCCGTGGGGTTCGGGTTCAGAGCACCGAGAGCTGCCTTCCAGGTCTGAAAAAAAAACAAAGAAACCAAGATGAAAACTTTTCTATTGTAAAAAAAAAAAAAAAAGAAAGAAAACAGACACAGTAAATGGACATTTATGTTTTTTGCAATATTAGCACTGGGCAGTCAATTGCATTTAAATATAATCGCAATTTAACAAATTTTCAAACCACAGAGGAACTCAATTTTAATCACACTTTGTTCATCTAGAGCGAGACACTGATTTTCTTGCTCCAGCCCCTCAGGTAAAACGCTTGAAGGGAGCTTATCTCCACACAGAAAGGTAGAGAAAGTTGTAGCTAGAACTCAGCTCCATGCTTGCAAGCAGAAGTTTTCACACAAAGGTTACAGTAAAGTCCTGCAGCAGTGGACTCTGGACAAGCAAGCAAGCTTGCCGTTCGGTGCAAAGGAAAATCAAACTGCTATATTGGTTAAAAATAATAAAAAATTAGATTTTTGGCCAAATCTTTCAGCCCAACATGTTATTTAAAACAATATGCTTTAGCATTTTTTCAATAAGGACAAGTCAAGGTTAAAACCTTTATATAACACCTGGTCTTCCTGATAGTCAGCCAATGAAAGCAGCCCTTTGGTACAAACTATCACTTATTAAACTTTAACAGACCCCTGCTTAAGGAGTGCAGCTAAGCCGATTAGTTTAACTACAAAAGAGATTTGAACGACTTTCTTCACATAAAATACTTGATACATAAACAAAGCAAAGGGTGTTTCTGGAGAAAAACAGACAGTCGGAAAAAATCATCATCTGTCAACCTAAAGGTTAATAAACAGCCAACCTCACTAGCCTATGTCAGTATATAAAACAATGGCTCCAGAACTGATCATTTCAGCACAGGACTCAACCGATACAGGTTTTTAATACTGATACCGATTATTCTGACATCAGTTTAACCAATCCCTGATATGTGCAGCTGATATTGTAGTGTAATTTTTCTGAGGTGCACAACAACAGTTGCAGAACCTCTGCGCCGGGGACGTGGTCGCGCACAGAGACAGATTTGACGGTTGCAGAGGCTATTGACAACTACGGCAAAAGGTTAATCAAAGGGGTTCGGAAGTAAAATCCCTTGTACGACGCCTCAGACAAATTATAGAAAGATACCAAGGTCTCTGTCAAAACCACGTTCTCGTGACGATCCGCCAAAGTTCTCGTGAGTTCTCCAATAGGCTCCCCCTTGCGCCTATGTGGGAAACTGCTGTGCATCCCTAGAAATTCCAGACCGACGGTGCAGAAGCATACCAGCAAAACATTTGATGTGTGCGGTTGCAGACGTCTAATCTGCCTGTTTGAATCCACAGCCAAAACGCTTCTGGTTTCCTTATTTTCAAGGACTTGGAAGGATCCAGTCCAGATAGACTGGCTCTATTCATAGTTTTCGACGGTGAGAGGAAGCCGGAGTACCTGGAGAGAACCCATGTATGCTCAGGGAGAACATGCAAACTCCATGCAGAAAGACCGGGAATCGAATCCGGAACCTTCTTGCTGCAAGGCAACAGTGCTACACACTTTATTAAACATCAATATTTTAAAGCAACAAAACAATAAATCTGGCAGCACAAACGTTTTCTTTAATTGAATAATGAAATGTTCCACTTAAGTTCCAATTTGCATGTTTTCTAAACAAAAACAAGTATTTGTTGGGCTACTGTATAAAACCTCAAACTCAACGCCAATTCTGACATTTTCAATTGAAAAAGCTTCCTGGATGGGAAGTGAAACCTCTTCAAACTGGGAAACAAAAGTCCAGGGGATTGTTTTCTTTTTTCTTTATGACCTGGATGACTAACAACCTTCACCAGCTTAATTATATCAATCACAAATACCGAGGAAGGATCCATTATGAACTAATCAAAATTATTATCTACTTTTTTAAACAATCAGTTTACAATTAGATATAAATACTGAACTTTAAAGAAAAACTCATAAGAACAAATCTTAACACAACTAATCACTTAAAAAAAAGGCAAACTAAGAAACAGAAAGTAGAACTTTAACATTGACAGCAGAATTATATTTCCACATTAAAGTTTTACACAGCAAACAAATTAAACGTGTAGATAAGCTTATACTCAGATTTAAAGGTGGTTTGATCTTTTTTTTTTTTGTTTATTTGTGTTAAGACACACTAATAAGACTAACAACCCATTAAATAACAGAAAAAAACATACTTAAAGTCAATATATTGTCCCAGTTTAACATCAGGTAGTCTAGTAGTAAACTGTAACTGAACTTTATTAACTCCCTGAGAGTGTTAGCTTAGCATTGTGCTAACACTAGCAAATGTAGCATCCACTCACCTCTTTGCTAACAGCCGGCTGCAGTTTTCCTTTGATTTGGCTCCAGCAGACGTCCTGCAGGTGGTTCTGCTGACCCAGAATCAACACAGGCCGACTCTGAGGCTCAGAGTCCCCGGCAGAAACCTTGAACTCCAGCACCACGTTCGCCATTTCTGCGCTTCAGGAACCTCCTTCCCTTCCACGGACGGACGGGGCTTCGCTGCTGGTTAACCCTGTGCTTCATTCACGGTCAGAACCAGGAACTCGAAACGTTCTCTTCGGCAAAAAAAAAGGGGGGAAAGAAAGAAATTAAAGGAAAAAGTTGGATTAGATGTATACTAAATGTGTTCTCGGTTAATTCCCAATTCAGACCGATAAAGTTGAGTGTGGAAAAATATAAAAAAGTAGAAGTGTAAAGTAAAAAAAAAAAGATAAAAGCAAAATTATGCCATTAGTTAGCCATATAAAGTTCACAAAAAATAAACTTTATGACCATTAAAACTCTAATCGTTTATTCGTTTAAATTCCACACAAAAACGTTTTCTTAGTAAAACAATAATAAAAAAAAAACAATGTATTTGTGATTTCCTACTTTACATTTTACCCTGAACATATAGTACGGATGATGATGGAAGCCAGGAAGGGACAAATCAGTGCACTAAGCCCTGACATGTATAGCTGCGAAGTAGTAGTAATAGCCTTCTGAGAATTTTTATATTTTTTTAATTTTTACTTTATTTTACTGGATCTTATATGATTAATTAGAAAGGAAGCAAAT